GGAAAGAGTTTCTCACATTTGGCGTTAGATATTTCACATTAAGAAATTATTTTGTGTAACGGTAGGGTTTAGTATTAAAATAAATTAATATAGATATTTGTTCCCTCTTTTCTTTTCTTTCGACAAATTATTATGAATGTAAAACTCTTTTCTTTTTTATCAGGAAAAAAAAAAAAAACTCTTTCTTTTCTTATTTGTTTTCACTCGATTTCTTTTACTTTTTACTTCCTTTTTTCTAGCACCTTTGCAAACACAAAACAACAACAGCAGCAGCAGCAGCACTGCGGCAATAATCTGTATACACGAATAAACTTCATCTTCTTTCGTTTTTTTTTTTTTTATAAAAAAAAAAAGAGTTAAATTTGTCAGAGTTATATATAATTGTACATTTGCTGCGCAATATATGTAATTGTAGAAAATTTCGGTAAACAAAGGTCCATACGCATGCATGAGAATTATAATTGACATCGCGAAGAAAATTTAGCAAGAGAAGGGCGAAGAAAAAGAAAGGAAAACAAATGAAATAGCCACACAACGCATTATTTTTTTCCATGTTTTCATTAAGACTTGACACGTTTCCAAAAGCAACATCACGGGAAAAAGGTGAAGTAGAGGTTACAATTTCCAGAGCGTTGGTCTCTATCAATAGCATTAAGGAGATTTGTTCAAATTTAATTGGTGGAAAACAAAGAAAAGACTCTAAAAAAAAATAAAAATAGCAGGTCAACTGTTACTAGCTTATCAATCCTTTTCATATATAAGGATTTGGAATTGTTATTTAATTTCCCAATTTTATTTGTAGTTTCTTGTTCATATTTGGGATAGATTAACAAATAAATATGTTAGTACCACTTTCATAATAGGTAAGGAGATAGAATATATTGAACCAACTTCCACTATTTCACTCTTCTTTTTTCCAAAGTAATCTTTTACTATTCTGTAAAATCCCTATTATTTTAAGCGAATCAACGGATGTTAATTAGGTTTATCTCTCTCTGTTTTTTTTTTTTTTAATACTTTTTGTTAAGCTTATAATGGCCTCTGCTACATCACCTAGTAAAAGAATTGTGTTGTTCATATGGTGGATTCAGGTATTGTCATATCAGTTGTTCTTTTCTGTTCTCCTGTGCGCGTGCGCTAGAAACATTGGTGATTACTTCTCAATGAGTTGTTATATATATGCATAGAAGATAAAGAATCTAATCATGTGGAGTAATAGTAAATGGGAATGTCGTAAGTGCTTGACACCACTCTTTAGTCTTCACAAAATAGTAATGTCGTTCACTAATACCATATCCCCAGTTTTTGTCTTAACAATCCAATTATACAACTAATATAATCAAATTTACGTTATGAAAATGCGATAGTTACAATCACTAATCACCCATATTAATATAACACTAAAATATCAGTAGCTACTTTTAGTATTTTTCAATCATGCGGGACTTGACCTTGAAGTGATTGAGGTGGTCCAAAAGGGTTAGTGTTTTGGATTGCTGCAAGCATAGTAGCATTCATCTAACTTTGTAATAAATATTCGAATGGTCAAAATAAATAAATAAATAAATAAAACTTTGTAATATTCTAAGGGTTCCACTTTATTGAAACTCAATTTGCGGAAGCAAAGCACCAAGAATTATAAACCATAAGAGATGCTAGAGAATGTCATACAAAAACAGTTATAAAAACGCCCAAGATTGGGTTTGGTTGGTTAATAATCCACGCAACTTGCTTTTTTCAAGTGACTCGTGATCGTGAATACTTTAATTGATGCCGTGAAACCTTTACCATCCAAATCTTGTCAAAATTATTCCCAAAGTAACCCCAAATTATGTCATATATGAGACTCTCAAATAGTGAGGGCACAATTATGGATAAGTGAATTATGGACAAAACTCATTATTGAACCCCCAGCTTTATGTAAGAGACTAGTGTGAGACTGTGTATCAGTATATTAAACTACTTTTGTGAGCATTAGGAATAAATATACGTACCAACTCTATAATATATATATATATATATATATACATATATAATTAGAAATTCCATATAGTTGTTACATTGTATTCTTGGACCTAAAAAAAGTGAATTGCAACATGATAGGAATATGACAGCTAAATAGCTAGCTTTTCTAGCAATAGAACTAAACAAAGAAATAAATACCTGAGTTTGTCTTATAGTCCAAAATCCAAATGGTTGTTAGCCATTGCTATCGGCAATTCATATCTGGTTCAAAAATCGGATTGTGTGTCCAAAATAAATGTCTAAAAAAAATGTAGGTGGCAACAGCAAGAAATTAACGATACGAAAATTTTCTTAACTTAGAGCACGTTTCGTGTAAGGGTTCTAGAACGCGGAACCATAATTCTAGTTTAAATCAGTGTTTATTTACAAAAAGTAAAAAGTGGTTCTGATTTGACTGACTCAGAATCAGTGTTTGGTTTGGATGGTTCTAATACAATGTTTGAACCTTGATGTGATGTTTTAAATGATTCTAAAACTAGCTCCCCCTTGATTTTGGGTGGTTTAAACCCTTGATTCTGATTCTGATTTCAGAACAATGATTTATACCCAAAATTATGAATCATGATTCTAATTTCAAAATCAAAACTAGAATCACCTTGATTTAAACCTTTATACCAAACGAATCCTTAGATATATATCAAAATATCAAATTGAAAGTCTTGATTTTCCTCTAAAAATAAAAAATGGATGTCCAGATTTTTTTCGAGTATAATAAGAACATGTTTAGTTTGCTGATTCGATAATTTAATTCGAGTTGAGATGTGACTTTATATGAGAGTTTTTTATTGTATCAAAAAAATTAAATGTGACTGTTTTTAAAAACTTTTTACAATAATAAAATTTAAATTTTAAATTTAAATGATTAAATTAAACGGATGTAAATTAACAATTCATCAATAACGAAATTCTAGGTACTGGCTTTTTCTTATCAGTGGTTGTACACAAATCCAAATCCCGAACTCCCTAACCGTACGATGCAATCACACAAAAGAATATCCAGCCGTCCGATCAGTCTACTAAACTGGCTTTTAAAGAATCTAGACCGTCCCATCTCGTCACCCCACAAAGCAGATGCATGCCCCTGTCAATTTTTAACAGTGAAACCTCCGACCAAACGAACAACACACGCGTACGGCGTACTACGTAGATTTCGTTGTCCAGAATTTAAGGGACCCACAAGCTACTCTTTATGCCGACGTGGATGTACATTCGGGTGCGTACTTCTCACGAGAGCCACATGCTCGAAAGTCTGCCGTATTAGATCCAGTGCAGAGGCGACAGAAACTTAACGACAGATTGACCGTTGAAAACGCGGGTCCCATGTGGAGGCGCGATTTGACGGTGGAGATTCGGTTGGCTTTTGTAACAAAAGCGTGTGCGCGCGCGTGCTCTCTCTCTTGACAAAATTGGAAAAGGGAGAACGAGGATTGAAGGAGAGAAAGGAGCGCATATCAGCATCCCCTTCTCTCGGACAATAATTTAAAAAAAAAAAAACAAAATCCAAAGATTTTTTATTTTTTTATTTTTTTATTTTTAAATTCTATTTTTTTTCTCTATATAAACCATAGAGTTTGTACGCTGAGCATAGTGACTGGCACAGTTTCTTTTTGAGGAGATCTTTTTTCATGTCTAGTCTCTGAGCTGAGCTTCTCGAATCTGTTATTGGTATTGAATTTTGTTTCATATTTCTATGTTACTTTATTTATTTTTTTTTGTTTTTTTTTTTTTTTTTTTTTTTTTTTTTTTTTTTTTTTTTTTTCTGTTTGGTTGCTTAGAAACTAGTAAAAGTAAAGAAGATCAAACTTGTTCTTTGAATGTGGAGAAAACAATTTTAATTATCTGTTTTTCATGGTTCAGTGATCCTTTTGTTTAAAGGAAAAATCCTTTCTTTCTCGTCATTTTTTTTTTTCGTTTTGCTTGATTTGTTCTTTTCGTTTTAACTCAAAGTCATGATTTATTTATTTAGCTTTTTCTTTGTCTTAGTTTATGTAGTGTAAACAGTAGAGAAAAGGGAAAAAATGGCAATATCCGGTTCGGCTGGGCAGCCACAGTTCATTGCGAGCACTGGAAATCGAAGCCTCTCAAATGCGCCGCTAATTGAGAACTCCGATACTGATCAGATTGTCGTTCCCGATGTGAGTTTCATCTTTGTTTGTTAATGGAGTTCTTTTGCAGAAAGATTTGAGAATTGAATGGCCCTAAAACTGTTTGGAATAATGCTTTGCTGAGATAAACGCCTAAGTTCCTCCTCCTCCTTCTCTCTCTCTCTCTCTCTCTCTCTCTCTGATTTCTCTCTCTCTTCTCTGTATTCTCTTAGTATTTTGTTTTATTGGATACTATCAAATGTGGTAGTTTGTGGGCGATTAATTTGAGTGTTAACCTTGTAGTAGGAGGCTACCTTCTTCAAAACTCACAAGCACAGTGAAAAATTTTGGATGAAGATGAAAAAGTCATGTGATATATAGACCAATTGTGAGAGAGATTGGTGAAATTACTAAAAAAAAACTCGAGAAATAACTATATGCATATTTTTGGTGCAATTTCAGAAATTTAAAACTCTAATCAGGGGTCAAGACAGTAAATGATACCAAAAAAATGAGGCATGACGATAAACATGCATTGATTTTTCCCCCCTTCTTCAAATTAGGTGGCTCTCCTGCTTTGACAAAACAAAAAAAACAAAAAAAAACTTGAAGACTAATTAGCGCTTTAATATATACATATATATATATATATATATATTTGGGAAAACATTGAAATCTTGATGGTGACTTCTCAGTAAGCACTACTCTAAGTTGAGCTATAGTTCCACTAAAAGAATTCCTGGCTTTTCAACTAATGCGGATTATGGGCTGTTCATTGTTCTTTTCGCCAAAAAAAAAAAAAAAAAGAAAAAAAATCCTTAATGATCTGATGAGCAGACTAAGAACGAGATGTAATCTAATGCAGAGAAAAAAAAATTGTCTAGCATGTACCATTCAATTTCGAAATGCCATTGTGAGAGCTTTATCTAAAGTGCACACCTGCTTTTTTATCACTAGAGATATGTGTACGTAACATTATTTTCTTCATGCATTTGCTACCCATTATCATGCTACATAGTACATATCTGATATACTGGAAGATAAAGTAACGATTGTATGCCGTACTAGAAGCTGCCTATATGATGCAACGGATGATTTTTATTATAAACAAAGAATTATCTTCACGGACTTATCAATTGGGACATGTCTTTTCTTTTGTAAATTTTGATTCAATATTCTTGCGTCGGTCTGCATTTCAGCTGTTAAAATATATGTCATATTTCTTATTTGTGTCCTAACTGTTAGAAGTTTGTCAATGTATTTGAGAGGCGTGTTTGGAGGCTAATTGCTTGATTGTGGGGACTTACAATTTGTTTATGCAGAGAAAGAGCTGGAAAAACTTCTTTGCCTACATGGGACCTGGATTTCTTGTTTCTATTGCATATATTGACCCTGGAAATTGTAAGATGATAAGCTCTCAATCATTTTGTGCTTCCAGATTACACGTTTAAAAATGACATTTCAGTAAGATGTTTATTTTTTGTGGTTCGCAAACAGTTGAGACGGATTTGCAGTCTGGAGCACAATACAAGTACGAGGTGTGTCTTTCACCTTTTGATATTAAAAATGTTGCAACCCGTTCTAGAAGGAACAAGAGTTCTTCATACATATTTCTTAACCATACTTGTGTAAGATTATTTGTATAAAATTAATGTGAAACTTCGTCTTTTGCAGCTGCTTTGGATAATATTGGTGGCTTCTTGTGCCGCTTTAGTCATACAGTCACTTGCAGCCAATCTTGGGGTTGTCACAGGCATGTGATTTTCAATCTATACACTATATATTTTGTGGCCATTGGTCCAAATTATCTTTATCAAACTGGTCCTTATCAAGTGTTGTTCTAAATTGTAGGAAAGCACTTAGCAGAACACTGCAGAATGGAATATCCTAGGGTGCCCAACTTCATCCTGTGGGTTCTAGCCGAGATTGCTATAGTTGCATGTGACATTCCTGAAGGTAAAAGCTTAATACATCCTTTTCTCTAACATCAATCGTAAACATTTCTTTTTTTAAAAGGAATTTATGGCCAAAGCCTGAAGGATTGGAATTTTTTTTTTTTTTTTTTCCAATGCTTCATTTTAAAGATAGTAATATATGAAATTATGTTTTCAATGTCTCATTTTTAAATGGCTTTTTATTTGCAGTGATTGGAACTGCATTTGCTTTGAACATGCTCTTCAATGTTCCTATATGGTGTGGTGTTCTTCTGACAGGACTTAGTACTTTAGTTCTTCTAGCATTGCAGCAATATGGGGTACCTTGATATATTTCTTGTAACTTAGAAACTCTGCAATTTGTTTCTGGATATTTCATGGCTAAAATTGAAGCCAAGTCCTTAACTCTGTATACAGGTCAGGAAACTTGAATTCTTGATTGCATTTCTTGTACTCACAATTGCCGCATGCTTCTTCGTGGAGCTTCACTACGCAAACCCTGATCCGAAAGAAGTTCTGAAAGGACTTTTTGTTCCCCAACTGAAAGGAAGTGGTGCCACTGGTCTTGCAATTTCACTTCTTGGTGCCATGGTTATGCCGTACGTTTAGAATGTTTTCGCAGTAACTGTATGGTTTCTTCCCTTGGCTTACCATCTGTTCTTCTCTAACTACATTTTCCCCTATGTACTTGTTACAGCCACAATCTCTTTCTCCACTCTGCTTTGGTGCTCTCTAGGAAAATACCACGATCTGTCCGTGGCATCAGAGTAAGCCTTATCTTCAATGGACTAGCCTTTGACATTGTTGGATTCTTTTCGGAATATAAGATGTGAAAATTTTGACATATTCATGTGGTGCTACATCTGATGAAACACACTACTTACAGGAGGCATGCAGATTCTATATGTTTGAAAGCGCCTTTGCTCTCATGGTGGCCTTTCTAATTAACATATCAGTTATTTCTGTGAGTGGAGCAGTTTGCGGTTCTTCAAGTCTGAATGCTGAGGATCAGAAGAGCTGCCAGGACTTGGACTTGAACAAGGCTTCCTTTTTACTAAGGGTATGCTGTGTTACAATGTTTACTAATACTCTGTCACTTTTGTTTTCTTGGCATTTGGTCGGTCAATTTTGTTACATCTCAAATTTCAGTGTGTATTTTAATGTTAATAATGGTGTTTTACATTTATCTGCATGCATCAGAATGTCTTGGGCAGTTGGAGTTCAAAACTTTTTGCAATTGCTCTGCTGGCGTCTGGTCAGAGTTCTACTATCACAGGAACATATGCTGGGCAATATGTTATGCAGGTAATTGTGCTAGGACCATACAGTTTTGTCACCATATATTGTAAACTGATTAATGTAGGTAATACTTGTTTTGTTGAGACACAAGATTCTTATGCTTTCACTTTCCCTCTCTAACGTGTTCATCTCCAAATTTTTCTCTTTAAAGGGCTTTCTTGATTTACGACTGAAGCCATGGATTCGCAACTTTTTAACCCGATGTTTGGCTATAGTCCCTAGTCTAATAGTTGCAATCATTGGTGGCTCTGCTGGGGCTGGAAAGCTAATCATTATTGCATCTGTAAGATATGCTTGTATATATAATAAATTCTATCTTGCTAGTAAAACAAGGGAGCTCTGAATATTAGTACACAGAACATTACAAATATTACCCTTCAATTTTAGTGCCTAGGGTACTACAATTTTTTCTTTTTCCGCCCTCTGCACATCTTGTGTTTTTACATCCTTTTATCTCTCTCTCTCTCTCTCTCTCTCTCTCTCTCTCTCTACAGATGATTTTATCATTTGAGCTCCCTTTTGCTCTTGTTCCACTTCTCAAATTCACAAGTAGTGAGACCAAGATGGGGGCATGCGTCAACTCTGTCGCGGTAAAAGTCTATCTTACCCCATTCAGTTCTGTACAAATTTGATTACTTGTTCTTGGAAAGTTTAAATTTGTCTCTGAATCCAACCTGTATTTATATATGCATACGTACATAAGCCGACAAGTCATTAACTAGTTTTATGTTCATCACAAAATTTGCAGATCTCAGCTATAACTTGGATTATAGGTTCCCTGATTATGGCCATAAACATATACTATCTGATGACTGGATTTATCAAGCTGCTTCTTCACTTACAAATAGTGGCGGCTGTGTTTCTTGGCATATTCGGGTTCTCGGGGATGGCAGTGTACTTGGCTGGAATTGCATATCTGGTTTTCCGAAAAAACAAGGAGGCCACACACCTTTTGGCGTTCACAATGCCCGAGAGCAGACAAATGACCGCCAATGAGCAGAGCAATGCCTCAATGTATTGTCTCCCAAGAGAGGACATTGTGAGCATGCAATTGCCCCAAAGAAGGTCCACTGTTGATGTTGACTAAGTCTCCTATATTTGGTGAAGGTAACATTTGTAGGACATTTAGCTTCTTCTTAGGGTCCTAAAGTAGTGAAAAATGCTCGGGACACCATCGGTGCTAAGAACCACCATTAATAGAAGGTGGGTCTCACTGGTGGACTCTGTAACATTGTTCTCTTAGTAGTACTAATTTAAATAAAGTAAGGTATGGAAACTAGCTGGATTATTACATAATCCTACGTAGCTCTTATATATATGATGTCTTTTCGTAACTAGCTTTTTATTCGTTCAAATTGGTCTTCACGTTCCTTCATGATGAAAGAGTGAAAAAATGAAATTAAATAAAAAAGTGTTTCTCACTAGTTTGATGCCTGCCTAACAAACTCTCTTTCTTAGTTAAAGCCCCTCTTACTTTCGAACACAATTCTAGGTAATCTTTCCTTTTCATTTCTTTCAATATTTCTATATTGTATGTCAATAGAGTCCAAGTAGTTGTTGCCATTGATTATATTTACTATGTCTAAACTTTGTCCAAAAATGTGCACTGTGTGAATCACTATCTCACCAAACACCTACCATTGGCTACGGGTCAATTTTGAAGATATTGTTTAAACTTGACGTTGCTCAATTTATCAACCAACTTTAGATAATAATTTTGTAAAGTTACATAGGCCTTGCCCATATGACCAAGAAGATAGTGACCACAAGTTTTGGAAGAAATAAATGAAAAGAAGAGAGTCAATGTTTTCTTGAATAGATACCAAATGAGAAGATTAATCTCTAAATTAGTTGAAACTCAAAGCCCATTTTGAAAACTTCAGAGGGAAAATGGTGTCCCAATATCCATGTGTTGAGTATATTGCGACTTATATATATTGATTTGTGTCCAAAAGATTCTCATTTGAAAGTAGCTAGGGGAGGTTGCTTCCTAACCCCAGGGAGTATTTTATATTTATATCGCGCCTCTTATAATTGGTAGGAAAAAAAAATACAGATGGGGACTAAGATTAAATGTTCATATGTCATCTTCCCCTTATGCACGTTAGAAAAGGGAGGAGGAATAGTAGGAACGAGAATTCATGAAATTGGGAATAATGGATATATAAAATGTTCAAGTTATGTGGAATAAGATATGTGATTGGATCACGAAATCTTTTCGTAACAAAACGTATCCAATTACACTCTTCTCTCTCTTGTGGGGCAGTTAGGGTTTCATATTTGAGATTACTATTTAGGGCCAGAGTCTGGCACTACTATTGGCTGTTCGCTAGACTCTCGGTCCTTGAAATGGTGGTTGAGGCAGTACGTGTCTGATTGGCGATTGATAGGCTCGGATCATTGGCGATGGAGACTCAGATTTTGCACATTGGAGTCTGGTGGCATCGCTGTTTTGGGGTCCTAGCCCCCTCATCTGTGTGGTTCGGAAGAAGGACTATAAGAGATTTCTAATGGCTCTATGATGCAGGGGCTTCGTTCAGGCTGTTTGTGTGTTCCGATTCATCGGCAGCTATCGCGCTTCTTCTGCGGCGACTCTGCTTATGTACAGTTTTTTTGGCCTTCGTACGTGGCGGCTGGCTTGTCACCAATGTTTCTTTCTATGTGGCTGAGGCCACTCACAGTTTTTTAGTTTTTTTTTTTAATTTTAATAAAGGCGATGTTGTTTCAACATGTTTTAGTGTTATAATAACGAGGTAATTTCTCCACACTCTAAACTTGTTTGTATGTATTACTCATCTGAGTTAAATATCGACGGTGTGTGTCGATCTATGGCTAGATTTGTTTTAGGTCGTGTCGCTCATGTTTCAACTATAGTGGTTGTTTGTAACGAGCTTTGATCGCGCTCGATTTTGATTGTGTCGAACGGGTCTTTTCCCGTTAGGTCTTAGCATTTGTGTTCACGCTTATACTTCATTCGTCTTCATTGATAGATTCAGTCAATGTTCGAGAACGAATTTTCTTGTTTTGCGACTATTTTTAAGTATGTAATTTGTTAAATTTGCTATGAGATTTTCCTTTTAAAAATAAATAAATATGTGATTGCGCTCTATATCAAAAATATCAAGAATAAATTGAAAGAAGAATCCGTGGAACCATCCTGTTCCCTGAAATTTTAAAATTCTAACAAAAACACATTTTCTATAAATTTCCATCTAATTTTTGGACGAAAATAACCATGTGGAGACATAAATGTCAAAAGTTAACTAAAACTTGTCTTCGTGTCATCTTGCCTCTCGTTAAATTTCGCCTCATTATACTCCTTAAAACCATGAAAAGTGACGCGTTGTCATCTCACATGGACTAAATTTAAAAGGCCAACTTTTTGACAAACTTGTATAAGCTCCCATTCTCTTCTTGTTTTTCCCTTTTTTTCTTCTTTTCAGCGACTTAGGATTTCATGCACTAGTTAATTTACAGAAAATGGAGAAAAACGATGTTCAAGCACGACTGCTGTGCCTGAATGTTTCTATATTTTTGTCCTTTAAAATTAATTTTGGTAATTTACATATTATCATTTTTCTCCGTGTATTAGATGGAGCTTAACACATTTATTAGTGTCTTTTACAAGTTACAACTAGACTATTCAAAGTTAAACTTTGGGGGATATCATTAGTATTTGCCTTGATAATTTCCATCCAAAACTTAACCATAAAAAAAAAAAAAAAAAAAAGTATTCTTACACTAATTTTATGATGACGAAATTCGGTAATAATAATGATAATAATGATAGCAATAACAGCTAATAATAATAATAATCTCAAGTGCTTTTCAAAAGCTATCCAATTAAAAATCATTCGACCTGCAGTTTATAAGAAAGAGAAATCTTACATGAACTTCTTTTATAACATAACATGTAAAACAACATGGTTGACTTGATGATCGCCTAACACTGCTATCAAAACATTTAAGTTGAGATTTACACCCGGAATAAAGTAAGTGTTTTGGATTACATAACAACAAACTTTCTGTCATTTTCTTTTCCTCTGAAATAGAATTTCTTCCATTAAGTACTGCTTCCATTATAGGGAATCTATTAGCAATGCCTCATGTGCCCTTAATACATATATATATATATATATATATATATGTATATATTACATATATATTGCAATGGGATTAGGTAATCATATAGTAATATTATCCAGAGCAGGCTTTTATCAAGATTGGATTTTGATAGAATCTTCTTGGGGTGTGGGGACCGGAAGGTGACCTTTCTCCTGCAAGTTCTTAACGGTGTCGTATAGGCACTGCTTCACTGGAGTGAACTCCAAGCCTAGATCCTTTAGCTTCTGGTTTGTGAACTTGTATGGCTTTGCTCTCGGATTTACTTCATCTGAACACCTACAAACACACATTGTGGTAACATACTGGTAAAATTTCAACGGAAAAATGATGGCTTTATTCTGAATAGTGATGCTCTAACATGTAAAAATGAAAAAAAAAAAAAAAAAAAAAAAAAAAAAAAAATTAAACTTCTATTGTACCGCACATAATTGACGTATTTTAGAAAATACTGGATGGACAGAAGGATTTATTTATGCCAATTTTATAAATTAAGAACTGATTCTAGGACGTTTAAAAGTTAGAGACCAAATTAAATGAGATTTATCCTATAGTTTAAGTCTAAATATTTTGATTGAGTTTTAGCTTTGAAGACAAAAATTTAGTTTACCAAAGATTCAAAATTTAGAGAGTGATTTGTCAAAATTAAAAGTTCTAACTACCAAAATGTCATATTATTCGTAGTTGAAATAATAATAACATGAATAACCGAATCCCTACTCCACAAGTATAAATATTTTGACTTGGAAAGATTTCAATGGATGATGATGAAGCCAAGAAAATGGCATTTGTTAGCTTATTTTCCATAGTTTTGGCGGAGCCACAAAGGTTGAGATTGAATAAAGTCGGAGCGTGACTGTGACATGTGGTAGGTGAGAGCACTCGAGCTCCACATAGTGTTATTGTTTATTTGTTTTATTATTATAATGTTATTCGACTCTTGGTCTTCATGATTGTCTCAATCCTTCTCGTTCTGGATTATACTGTCAAAAGTGGGTTCACCTACTACGTACTCAGTCAGACTACATTTTTTTTAATAGGAAAGAGAAAAAAGAAAGAAAAACCAATAAAACATTTATAATGCGTTTGATTTATAATGATTTATGTTATAGTTCGAATCATAATTCATAATTTATTACAGTATTTTTTCTCATAAAAAATACACATAAATCAAAAATAATTCTGATTCATGATTCTGAATCCATCAAGTCCTCTATTTTTTCTCGATTAACCAAGAAAAGTTTTTTTTTTTTTTGGATAGAAGCCAAGAAAAGGATTAGGGAATGTATATTGTGCTCTGTTGTAAATTTAGGATGTCCCTGTTTGGCTATTGACTTCAGAAACTGCTGCATGTGATCAGAACTAGTCAGCAGGTTATTTCACCTAACTTTTATCCTTTATTAAATTTCCACCAATATGTTTTTCTCTTCCCAGTTTGTGAGCATATCTAAGTACAAGAAGTTGAATCCACGCAATAAAAATGAAAGATTATTTTTCTTTGTAAAAGATTGGTGATATAGAGTCCATTAACGAATGTTCATCGACCTATAACATTAGAATAACTTGTACCTACTAAGAGGAATTCAACGTGGCAGTGGCACCACATTTTTAAAATTGGACTATTTTATTATATGATGACATTTATATTAAACTATTGGTCCTCTAAAAGAATGGTATGCGACAGTTATGACTAATTATACCAAAAGAACAAAAAAGATGTACACTTACTTTATGGGAATAGGATATTCAGGGAAGAATTTGGCCAGGATCTCGACCACCTCACCGCGGTGGAGCACACTTTCGGCACAAAGATAGCGGCCAGAGGCGGACGGTGCCTCGAATACAAGAATGTGGGCCAGGGCAACATCCTTGACATGGACATAAGCCTGGACTGAGTTGGCATAAGTCTTGGCTGAGCCAGTTAAGTACTTGAGGATGTGAATGGTGCTGGCATTCACAGTTGGCTGAAGAAGTGGCCCAAGGACAAGGACCGGGTTCACCGCCACCAAGTCGACTCCTTTCTCTTTCGCCACTTCCCATGCCGCCTGCTCCGCCACTGCTTTCCCATAGCAGTACCAATTCTGCAAGATCAAGTAATATAGTTAGAGAATTATAATTTGTATGTGTTAATAATTGAGTAGTAGCATCATTATGTCAATATATCAAGTTTACAATGTCAAATAATTTGTACAAGTTTTACAATATAAAAAGGTGAATTTGATAGTGACTTGATAGAAGTTTTCAGGATGGATAAGTTTTATGTTTTTATCCTGTTGTATGTTCATTGACACAAATCACAATTCTGCCTAAAAGGTTAGATGACAAGATCCGCATAAAAGATAAAAAGAAAAAAAAAAAAGAATTTATTCTAAACCTGCAATATATATTATATAGCCTTTATGAGACGGGATATGATGCACCTAGCAATATAGATTTAATTCAAATATTCTGTCATTATCGTGTCTAACGTCCAACCTAATCAATGTCTTATGTATTACACAAATCTAAAAACACTAGCACACTATTAATCTTCTTTTTCTAATGACTAAAGCTTGAAAATTTTTAAGAATTAACGTTGGTTAATACATTATATTCAACCAAGAAAAACAAGACATTTGGTTGTTGAGTGTTTAATTTAACCAGATTTCGTCTCCTTCCTCTATTTGAAAGGTAACTTCCACCAACTCTAAATCACGAAGAAAGTACTCATATGGATTATGGGGGTGCGAATATTTTTACCAAAAAATTGTATCTTACTAATTAAAGGTTAACAACTTATTTATCAAGTAATTTGTGTTATATGTACAAAAGGAGAGTAGAAAAAAGTTAAGAAAAAAGAGGGGTACTATAAAAAATTACGTACTCGGGTGTTCTTGCAAAATTCAAGGTCACTCCAACAAGACTCATCGACGACAACATCGGGGCTCCGATTGGGGTCCATGTAGACCGCCCCAATTGAGGACGTGAACACCACTCGCCGCACCTTCGCCTCCGCCGCAGCCACTATCACGTTCTTAGTCCCATTCACTGCTGGTTCCACCATTTGCTCCTGTTCATTTTATTTATTTATTTATTATTCAATTTGATTAATCATCATCCATGCATGATCATAATCATCATAATCACATCAGCTTTTAATTCTCCTATATATTCTTAAATAGTCATATTGTGCGCAATGAGAATTGATAAATGGTGCTAGAATTCTAATAGATCGTCTTTTTACTCCAATGCTATCATCCAATTAATTACTAGTACTTACCAATTATCCTCACCACATACACAAACATGAACAAGGATCTAAAAAAAAAAACAAAAAAACAAAAACAAAAAACCCAATTTCAGCCACTGGAAGAATTATTTTTATTATGGGACCCACCACGACGTTGCCCACTATGTGTGCTATGGTCGGGTCGGGTTGGAGTGAGTGTCTCTGTTTTCCACTCTTTTTTTTCCCCTTTCTCTTCTCTCCTCTTTTTGTTTTTTTTTTTTTTTTTGGTAATAGGTGAGTAGTTTTCTTGGACACGGAAATTTCAGAAAGAAGCTAGCGCAAGGATTCATGACAAGGGAAAAATGAAGAACTAGAATTAATTACCGGATCATCAGTAACGGGAGATGCCGTGTGAAAAACTCCATGGCAACCAGTGATGGCTTCTTTGAGGCTCTCATAATCAAGAAGATCAGACTTACACAGAATCAGTCTCTCTTTCGCTCCTTCAAACTCTCTCAAGTGACTATTTTTTGGGTCATCTGTAACCAAACCATAAAATACAATAAAAAACGTACAATTAGCACCAAACAAAAACCAATTATACGTATATATCTATATATATATGGATATATATATATAACAGTATTGGAGAAAAAGACCCACCTGGGTTTCTTACGGTTCCTTTAACTGTATAGCCTCGTTCAAGCAAGAGCTTGACGAGCCAAGAGGCAATGAATCCTCCGGCGCCGGTGACACACACGGTTTGTCCGTGACCTGGCAAAGCAGCACTGTCAACAGGCATTTTGGCTTGTTGATTCTGTCTGACACTATTTTCAGATGTGAGTGCCTTTTTTTTTTTTTTTTTTTTTATATTGCGAGTATATATGCCTTTCGTGGGTTGACAAGAGCAAGAGAAGAAAAGGAAAAAAGAAAGAGGTGGTGATAGATATGAGTGCTTGTGTTTGCCAAACGTTAAGGAAAGAAGTGGAGGCACGACAACTGGAATGCCTTGTTTCTGGTTTTATAGGAAAATCACCCCTCACCAGACTCACCTACCGCGGGTTAAAAACTTCATACAGTGGAACCCCAAACAAACTTTGACCGGTGGACTCTCTGTTTTTTTACCGTTGGATTACTTTAAATGGTCAGATCTATAGAATGAGAAATTATATATGGTGCGTTGTAAATTTTTAATACAGATCAACACAGATCTAACCGTTAAAAATTTAATCCAACAAATAAAAATAAAACTTCTATTAGTAGAAGTATTTGAGAGATTCTACCGTATAATTTTCCTTTTTTTAAGGTATTTTTCTAAAAATGTTCTTTTTAACTACCGGTTACCGTTGGATTAAATTTTTAATAATATGACTTATAATCGTGGCAGTTGTATATTATATGTTAGCGCCGTAGATATTTAACATAGAGACTCACATATCATATCAATGTAAGAATTAAAACAATAACATTTACATGGACTTCAAAAGAGTAGATCAAGTTCTCGTTTTTAATTTGATTTTAAATAATTTAGAAACATGCACTGTTATAGCGATCCCCTACCCAAAATTCTAGCATTTAGAAATATGCACTGTTATTGATCTTGTGAATAGAGAGATGGAGAATGACAGGACGTGTAGTACGTTTGTGTGGCTCTAAAAGAGTAGTGAGAAATCCAACTAAAAACTCTTCTCTTGGCCTCACAATTTACAATTTAGCACTGGCTTAGAAGAATGTTTCAAGACCACAAGACCCAACCTAATCTGATCACAACTTTCACGGAATTCCATGGCAGTAGAAAATCTTTGCCTTGGCGTAGATTCTAATTAAAACTTCATAGTATGTTTGAGTTTGACATTTATGTTATTAATTTATAAAACCCAAAATCATCTTGAGGAACTATTCTCAGCTTTACAATACAAATTTTTTACATTGGTCAAGGCATGCGAGGACATATATGTTTAATAAAAGTAGACTTTCATCCTGAAAGATGAATGAAAAATCCAACTTTGGATAAGTTTAGTGGCCAAAGGACTGAGTACGACAAATGAATAGATTTGAAATAGTAAAAAATGTGAATAATAAAGAGTAACCGTTCGAGATAAACCAATAGTATTTATTTATCGAGTTAACTACATATATGTCTATTTTGTAATAGATGGAAAAAGAAATGTCTACAAGTTGTTATATTTAGATATAAGTCTTGTGAAATAATTCGCAATGATAATTTTATTCCTAGTTAATTATCTTTTAAATTTAGTTATATAAATTCACAATTACTCATATAAAAAAAAAGAGTATATTTAAAATTATATTACGTCAATAATCATAAATTAATAGACAGATTGATAATATTGTTGAATTAAGAAATATATGAAACATAGTGGTAAAAATGATAATGACTACTTATTTATCTAATCTTAATTATTATAAGCTGTATTGAGTGGCAATAAGAGATATTAACCTTTTACCCTTGGTGCTTTAGGTTATCCCTCCATGATGTTAGTTTACGTATCTGCTGTGAGCTCCGGTATATCGTATGTGTATATATAATAGTACAATTATTTATCCATTCTTTACTTTACTTTTTTTTTTTTTTTTTTTTTTTTTTTTTTTTTTTTTGTGTGTGCTTATCTTCTTTTGATTTCTTTAAAGGAAGTGCGATGGGGTTGAGTTATTTTATTACATTTCTTTATTTTTTTTCTTTTTTTGTATAGGCTTATAAGGTCATTCTTTTAGGCCGAAGAATACAATTATGTTGAGCGTCAAAATGCTTCATTTTGGTAGTTAGTTCTTGTCTAAAAATATACCCTTGAAAGTTTTCAATATCCATAAGGTTCGTCAATTATAAGAGAGGATATGAGAATTGCATACCGTAGTAGCATATCATCCTTCTAACAGTCCATGAAATACAGGTTATTTTTAGTAGCTATTAGCTAATTAATGTATATCATTAATTCTAGGTTACAAATTAATTGTCGCATATCATATTTTACCTTTCCTTGCTTTAATTAGGTGATTTGCAATTGCTCCACTATATATGCGGCTCTCATTGAAGTGCCCCCCGCCCAAAAAAGAAAAAAAAAAGGAGAGAGAGAGAGAGAGAGAGAGAGAGAGAGAGAGAGAGAGAGAGAGAGAGTGAAAGAGATCAGATCAGAGGGACAGAATTAGAAGAAGAATAGAAGATAAAAGAAAGATAGGAAAGTGGGTACTTTTTCAGAGAGTGAAACGTCAGATTCTCATATTGTTGCTGTTATTATTATTATTATTTCTCAAATAGCATATATTGTTTTGTTGGAGTAGTTGCAGGGTCTACCAAAAACAAAAACGAAAACAGTTGCAAAATAGTGTTTGGTAATACTAGTCATGAGAATTGAGATGATGGCAGGCATGACATAAGCCAATGATTCGGTAAATAAATCACACAATCTTATATATAAGAGTGGCGATTTGTGTTAATAAAACGTATTTGTGTCCAAATTCATTTAAATTAATTAATTAAATAAATAATTTGTACAATAAAAATTTATTTAATATGATCATGACACGTTTAACAATTTTATTTGTTAATTTATCTGTACCTTAAAAAAAACACGTAAAGTTTATCTAAACATTTTGAGACAGATATTATTTGTATTTAATACATCAAACAAACTTTTATATTTATATCATATATAATTAATCTATAAATGGCACATTTAGTTAACACTGTCAATTCAAGTCACACGATGTTAGAAGATTAATCTTAACTCAACTCATTTATTAATCGTATTAATTATATCAATCCGATTATGACCCAAACTCATTTATTATAAAGAAAAAATTATACAAAATGCTTACTTTTAAAGCCTTCAATCTAAAAATACCCACTTATACATAATATTACAAAATATGCCTATTTCTAATTAATAAATAAGGCACATCTAATACCAAATATACATTTTAGGAATGTTCTTTATATAGTTACTTTTCATTATATGGGCTGATTTTTCTAGTAACATTTTGCCTTTGGACTTTCCTTATATGGTTTTTTCATTATATTGGCTGATTTTTTCATTATTTTCTATAATAATATCTTCACTGAGATAATGATAATTTTCCAGATTGTCACCCTAGTCTTATGAACCCCTTATTTTCTTTAATAGAGAATATATATATATATATATATATATATATATATTTAACAAAAAGGAACCATGTTTAATTAAGTTTTTGATAAGAGAACGATATTTAATTATGTTATTTGACAACTTGATAAATACAAAGATGTTTATAGAGATGTCAATTAAGTCAGGCAGCCTATTAAGTACGATGGCATGTCACGAAAATTTTTGGACCGAGCACAGTACGGCACGAGATTGTAATAGGTCGCGCTAAGCACGACACAAGGTGGTAGGCCGTGCCGAGCTCATAATTTTAGGCAATCTTAATAAATATCATTTGAAAGTGCACGAGTCAAGATTTTTACCCTTTACTCTTGATTCATAACCTTTTTAGTCAAATAATTACACTAACAAAAGGGTATTTATCAAGAGTAAGAAGTAAAAGTCCAAACTCATATACTCTTAAAAGTAAATTCTCCATTTTACCCATAATTTTTGACATGTGAGTCCGGCGATCGTGGATGCCTGCATTATTAATATTTATTTTCACTTAATTTGTTTTTAAATGGAAAAACAGTTGGGGAAAAAATAATTTCTTCATAAAAACGTGAATTAAAAAAAAAAGTATGCATGCGCGCAGCTCCTCAATGAGTGGATTAGAAAAAGAGAAAAATTTTATTCCTCCGCAAACTTTATCACTTAGTCAATTTACTCTCTAAACTTAAAAGAATTGGTCTATTCACCTTCTAAATTTTAAGGTGTTACTAAAAACATGGCACCAATTTAAAGAATAAAAAATTATGTTAAATTGAAAATCTTATGATTAAGGATAAAAATATAAATTATCCATATTAAATAAAAAATTCTTTAAAATAAAAATGATATATGCATATTATTGAAAGAAGAATATCTTCCCTTCCAGCAATGGCCTCTAGCGTCAAATTCTTCCAAACCAGACCTCAAAATCCACTTCCAAATCTGTAGCATCAAATTCGATTCCTTCACCACCAGCACCAAAATTCCCTAATTCTAACAAAAATAAAAAATAATCAAAAACAAACTATGAAAAGTAGCGTTTCAAGAAACATAGTGTTACACCACGGTCGAGGGATCGGTCACGGCCTCGACGTTGGGCGCCAAGGAATCCCCGTCCGGCTTGGCCGCCGGTGTCAGAGGAGTGGTAGCAGCTAAGGTGCCCTCTGTGCCGAGAGACGTCACGCGGAGAAAGGCGCTGAGGACGGACGCTCGACCCTCGATATCCACGGCGTCGAGGAATCCAGTCTAATCAATCCCATCGGCTGTCCTGTCAACTCGGGGAAAGAAGCATCAATCCAACAGTCGCTGCAGGAGTCAATAGATCGTGCGGCAGATAAGAGGGGTCAGCCACATTTCCTGAGTTTTTCATCATTAAAACCCACATACCCTCCCGATTATCGAGGAAGGGAGATGGCTTCCTCCTTGGGAACGGAGAAGGCTTGAGGATTTTGTAATCACCTATAAATAAGGGAAAAAGGACCCAGGAAATGGTTGGACACCATTTTTCATTATACGAAGGGAGAGCATCTGTAACCGACTGGAATATTAGTGCATGCACAAGTGGATTAGGCAAAGAATTATTGCCGAACCACTATAAACTTGTTGTCTCCTTTACGTTATTTTCCAGTTTTTATCTTTGATCGAACCGTGAGTGTTTTTGGAGAGGTAACTACGAGCTGTCGAAAAAACACCGTCAACAATTGGCGCTAGAAGGAGGGCCCAGTTAAGCCCAGAAATCTAATCCAGTTCTTAACAAAAGCAATAGTCATGCCTCCCAGGAACGCTCGCCTGATGGCGGCCGACCCAAGGAGCCAGGCAACCCAGGATCCCACCACCGCGGGGACCTCGGTGAACCTACCCCCGCAAACCGCTACAAATCAACCAGACCGCCTCGACCAGCTCCAAAAGCAGGTCGAGACGCTGGCCGCGGCCATGGAAAGGATGGCTACGACCCTGGCCGGGTGGGATTAAGGCCAGAACTCTATGCCGCCGCTGGAGGACGCGCCGATGAACCCGGTGAACGCCGTTGCTGGGGACCAAGCGATTGGTGACCAACGCGGTGACACTAAGGAGATCGGTGACAGCCGAGCCAACGATCCCCGCCCGGCCAAGTCAAACAGGTCGGTGGGGAGCAGACAGAGGGCGGCGCGGAGGAGAGCGCGGGAGGAGGCTGCGGCGCAGGCTGTGAATAACAGGAACGCGCCCCCTCGACCGCAACCCGACGCGAACGGAAGGAACGCTGTCCCCGTGGGGTCTTCGTCTATATACGGCGGAGACCTCAGGACGAGACTCGACGCTCGACGCGGGAAAGCCGTGCAGCTGACGAGGGAGGAAGAGCTCGCAGCGGATAACAAGGCCCTGGCCGAGAAGATGGCAAGGCTCGAAAAGCAAATCGAGAGTCGATTAAACAACTTCGAGCAAGTTGTAGGGAAGGTAGCCGAGGCGGTCAATGTCGACGCCAAGATGTACACGTCGCACGACCACCCTTTCACCGAGAATATTATCCGGGTGCCACTCCCAGACAAATACAAATCACCACTCATTCCACTATACGACGGAATGAGCGATCCGGCCGACCACTTGGAGGTGTACACAGGTTACATGGTCCTGCATGGATACCCCGAGGAGGTTATGTGCCGGGCATTCAGGAATCACCTCTCCGATTCTGCGAGGAAATGGTTCAGATCCCTGAAGCCAAATTCCATCACCAGCTGGGATGACCTGAAGAACGCCTTTTTGACTCAGTTCATATATGTCAAGAAATACATCCCGCCAAAACAAAACCTCTCGAGGGTATACCAGGGACCTAATGAGTCCCTGAAGGACTGGATAGCCCGGTTCGGGGAACAGGTCACCGCCACTGAGGGGATCTCCGATGAGGTGGCCTTAATGGGAGCGCTGTCGAGCATGAAAAAGGACACCCCTATAGTAGAGACCTCGACCGGAGACCGCCCCACACCTACCAGGAGTTTCTGACGAGGGCGCAGGGGTTCATCAACGCCAAGGAGGCCAAGAAGGCCTTGAAGAGCAAAGCAGCGACCCCTGCCAAGGAAGAGGTAGGACAGACGAGCAGTCAGAACAACGGCAAGAAGCGCCGAGGTCTTCCTCAGGTGCAAGTCGAGCAAAGGTACAACCCGGCTCCGAGTAATAGGGGCGGCAACGCCTCGACGAGCCAGGGGGAAAATAAGCGGCCAAAGCCGCAGAGATATGACGCCTATACGCCCTTAATTATGGGAATCGAAGACGTCTACCACGAGATTAGCCACCTCCAGGTCCTGCGTCGACCACCGCCGCTGAAGTCTGACCCAACACGGAGGAATCAAAACAAATACTGTCAGTTTCACGACGAGAGTGGGCACACCACAGCTGAATGCTACGACCTGAAGGACGAGGTCGAGAGGTTGATCCGGGAGGGGAGGCTCAGTAAGTACCGAGCCAACCGACGGAACAACAATAGGCGCAATAACGACCGACGGGAAGAGCCGAGACATGACAACCCAGCCGAACCGGTCGGCATCATCAGAACGATCTTTGGGGGACCTTACCTCGGAGGCTCCTCCTGACGTGCACAGAAGGAGTACGCGTGGGAAGCAAAAGAAAAGTTCAGCCAAAGGATGGTGAACGTCTCTGGATGCGAGGCTAAGGCAGCGCGATACGAGGAGGCCGAAATCACCTTTTCAGAAGCCGATGCGAGGGGAGTACATTTCCCCCAGAGCGACGCTTTGGTCGTTGAGGCCATGATTGGTAACCATACGGTTTGCCGTATCCTGGTCGACAACGGTAGCTCCGTGGACATCTTATATGCGGACTGCCTTAATAAGATGGGCATCCCCCGCGCAAAGTTGCAAAACAGTGCGCAGCCCTTGTACGGTTTCACAGGGGACAACGTCATCCCGGAAGGGGCGATAGAGCTGCCCATAACCATTAGAGACCGACCACACACCTCGACGATCATGTCGAAGTTCCTGGTGGTGAAGGAAGGCGACCAATACAATGCAGTCATCGGACGCCCAACGCTAAGGGCCCTGAGGGCAGTCACATCCATCTATCACCAGGTGATGAAGTTCCCGACGCCCAGTGGGATCGGCAAGGCCCGGGGAAACCAGTATGATTCGAGGCTCACGTACTCAGAGACAATCCGCCACTACACCGAGTCGACACAGGTACGTAGGGAACTAAGAATGGTCGAGGCCAGGGCGGAACAGTGTGATTTGGATCTAAGGTTCCCAGGAGACGAGGCCGAGACTGGACCGGTCGAGGATTTGGTCGAGGTCCCCATCGATGAAAGAGAGCCGATGAGAACACTAAGGGTGGGCTCAGAGCTGGGGACACAGGCCTGCGAGAAACTAGTCGAATTCCTTAGAACAAGCCTCGACGTGTTCGCCTAGACCCACGAAGACATAGAAGGGATAAGTCCCGACATCATGTATCACAGGCTGAACATTGATGAGAAGTATCCGCCTAAAAGGCAAAAACGACGACCCATGAACGTCGAGCGATACGAGGCACTGCGGGATGAGGTCGACAAGCTGATAAGGAACGACTTCATCCGAGAGGTCCTGTACCCCAGGTGGGTCTCAAACCCCGTATTGGTAAAGAAGCCGAACGGGGAATGGAGGACATGCGTCGACTTTAGTGACCTGAACAAAGCGTGTCCCAAGGACAGTTTCCCGCTTCCCCGAATCGATCAGCTGGTCGACGCTACGGCGGGACACGACATGCTGAGCTTCATGGACGCGTACTCAGGTTACAACTAGATACCAATGCTCGACCGCGACGAAGAACACACGGCGTTCATCACTGACAGAGGCCTCTACTGCTACAAAGTGATGCCCTTCGGTCTCAAAAACGCCGGGGCAACCTATCAACGCCTCGTCAACAAGATGTTCGCGGGGCAAATAGGAAAGTCAATGGAGGTTTATGTGGACGACATGCTGGTAAAGAGCAAGAAGACCGAGGACCATGTGGATGACCTTAGGAGGATGTTTGGCGTTCTCAGAGCGTACAAAATGAAGCTAAACCCCCGTAAGTGTGCCTTCGGCGTAGCCTCTGGGAAATTCTTAGGTTTCATGGTGAGCAGTCGAGGAATCGAGGCAAATCCAGAAAAGATTCATGCCCTCCTCGACATGGAATCGCCAAGGAAGCCCAAGGAGGTCCAGAAGCTGACAGGTTGTGTGGCCGCGCTAAACCAGTTTATTTCAAAATCTACGGATAAGTGCGTACCGTTCTTTGACACCCTGAGGGGCAGCAAGGCATTCGTGTGGACGGAAGAGTGCGAACAGGCGTTCCAACAACATAATCTCATTATGCGAAATACACTCATTCAATATCTCGCCATATTAACAGTGCGGATAACACCGTTCCATTCTAAATGGGAATGACATGTATTAATAATGTTTTAATTAAAGATTCTGAACTTTAATTAAATTCATTATGAACAATTACTTTTGATTATTATCCTTAAACATTATCCTCTCGTATACAACACTTATATACCATGTTTAAGGTTACATAAATAATCAAGGAATTTTATTTGATATTCATAAAATATTCATAAATATATGCACATAAAATGATGAATAAACTCTTTTATTAAATAAATAATAAATATCCTTTTACATCTCATGCTTCTAGGACACTATTCCCAACACCTTTACCTGGCGGTCTCGGAACACGCCGTTAGCTCGGTGTTGATCCGCGAAGAGAAGAAGGTGCAGATGCCGGTGTATTACACTAGCAAGCGCCTCCTCGATGCCGAGACGAGGTATCTCCAGATGGAAAAGCTCGCCCTCGCGCTGATCGTGACGGCGAGGAAGTTGCGGCACTACTTCCAGGCCCATAGCATTCAGGTCTTGACCAACCACCCACTCAGGCAGGTGCTACAAAAACCCGACACCTCCGGTCGGCTCTTGAAATGGTCCATAGAGCTCAGCCAGTTTGACATCAACTACAAACCGCGGAATGCCATCAGGGGCCAAGCCCTGGCAGACTTTGTGGCAGAGTTCACAAGGTTACTGGACGACGCCGAGGAAGTGAACGAGACGCCGCGGTGGAAGCTCTACGTTGATGGGAGCTCCAACGACAACAGCAGCGGGGCAGGGCTAGTATTACATACACCTGAGGGACACAAGATCACCTCCGCCATCAGGTTTGACTTCCCCGCCTCCAATAACGAAGCCGAGTACGAGGCGTTGCTGGCTGGACTCCGGTTGGCGGAGCACCTAAAAGCGGGAAACCTGGACATCTTCAGTGACTCACAGCTCATTGTGAATCAAGTGAAAGGCCAATATCAGACCCGGGATGAGAAAATGGCCGCGTACTTGAAGAAGGTCAAGGAAGCCCTGGGAAGTCTCGCAGCCTATGATATACAGCAAGTGCCGAGAGCAGAGAATAGCAACGCCGACGCTCTCGCCAAGTTGGCAACGTCGAGAGATGCCGAGCTCCTGAATCTGGTTCCCGTGGAGGTCTTGAAAGCCCTAACCACGAAGAGGAGGCCCGAGGTCGCGTCGGTGGACTACCAACCGGGTTGGATGGACCCAATCACCAGGTACTTAGCCCAGGGTGAACTCCCGGAGGACAGGCAGGAAGCAAAAAGGGTGAGGTATCAAGCAGCGAGGTACACGATGCACGACAACATCCTATATCGAAGGGGCTACTCGACGCCCTTGCTCTGATGCCTCGGCGCGGAAGAAGTACAGAAAGTGTTATACGAAGTGCACGACGGGATATGCGGGAACCACGCGGGGGGACAGTCCCTAGCTTACAAAATACTTCGGCAGGGGTATTACTGGCCGAGTCTCAAGAAAAACGCAGCTGAATACGCGAAGAAGTGTGAAAGCTACCAAAGGTACGCTCCTACCCCTCGACTGCACTCAGAAGACCTGACATCTATAGTGTCTCCCTGGCCCTTCGCCAAGTGGGGAATTAACCTTATTGGTCTCCTACACAAAACCCCAGGGGGGTAAAAGTTCGCTATTGTCGTCGTCGACTACTTCACGAAGTGGGTAGAGGCCGAGCCATTAACGACCATCTCGAAAGAGAAGTGTACGAACTTCATATGGAACAACATAGTTTACAGGTTTGGTGTGCCGCATTCTCTCGTGTCTGACAACGGGAAGCAATTCAACAACGACAACACCCGCCAATTTTGTGAACTATTGGGGATCTACAAGAATTTCTCCTTCGTTGTATACCCCCAGTCTAATGGACAAGTTGAGGCAGTCAACAAGATAATTAAAGTCACGCTCAAACGACGCCTCAACGCCCACAAAGGGAAATGGGCAGACGAGTTGCCGAAGGTGCTATGGGCCTACAGAACAACGAGTAGAACTACTACAGGAGAAACGCCCTTCTCGATGGCATATGGGATCGAGGTAGTACTTCCAGTCGAGGTGTCGATCCCGACCAGCCGGATAACCCGGTATGAGGAAGGGAGGAACGCCGAGCTGATGGGCTTGGAGCTCGACCTCCTGGAGGAACGGCGCACAGACGCGGAGCTAAGGCTCGCCGCTTACCGGGCAAGAACTGCTAGATATTATAACAAGAAGGTCAGGCAAAAGCGCTTCGTGGTCGGTGACCTGGTCTTAAGGGTAGTAACCCCTAACACCAAACCCAGGAACTCCGGAACCTTGGGCCTAACCTGGGAAGGGCCCTACAGAATAAGAGAAATTGTGGCTAACGGGTCCTATCGACTGGCGGAGCTCGATGGTCAAGACATCAAGCATACTTGGAATACAGACCAGTTAAAGGTCTACTACCAGTAATCCGGGGCACGTCGACCGAGCAGAGCAGACCTAATGTCTCGATTTCTTATTCTGTATCATTTATTCCTTATGATAAGCTGGAAAGCCACTTGTAAATTCTACATGAATAAAAAGCAACACGCGCGTTTAGTCAACAAATCCCGCCTCACGACTGTCTACTATTCCTGTCGATACGTCGATCGGACTAGTCCGTCGATACGTCGACAACGAGGGGATAATACGGCCCCACAAACTTGCAAGGGAGGTAGGGCTCCGGCTCGACCATACCCGAACAATGAACAAAGTTTCTACGCCTAAACATTTTACTACCTACGTCGACGTTTCTACAATGATCGGCCAAAGCCGAGTTATGAAACTCAGCTTGGACGAGGGGTGCTAAGGCCCGACATGAGGCCCCCCATAAAGAAAAAACTCAACTCACGAGATGTAGTCGAGCCTACACTTAGCAAGAGATTCTCCACACAACAGAATAAACAAAGTGTGAATGTATATATAAAGAAAAAAAAAGGAAAGAGAGAAGAAACACAAACAAAAATAATTGTCTCGACCTTATGGTCGTTACAAACCGCCAAATAAATATTGTCTGGGCCTTATGGCCCCACAAAAGAAAAAAGAAATTAAAATCTATTACGCGCCCTCGTCCCCGCCGGCGTGCTCCTCGCCCCCCAGCTCCGGCTCGCCGCCATCCCCCGGCACCCGATCCGAGTCCTCGCTCGCTGGCCCAGCCTGAACCTGTGTCTGTTCGACCTCCTCTGCCGGTTGGTCCAGGTTGACAATCTCCACTTCCTCGCTGTCAAACTCGTCGAGGAAAGCAAGGTCGACATCTTGACGTTTCTTCCGAAAACGGTCGAGGATCTGGTCCCCAGCGGACTTTATGAGGGACAACTGGAGTTCCTCAAACTCGGCAGAGTCTTGATAGGCGTCGAGCCTCTGGTTTATGAGCTCTTCAAAGGCCGCAGAGGACTGGAACCGCTCCACCTGCCCCTCAATGATCTCCTGGAGCTCCCTGGACGCCTTGAATGACTCCAGCTTGGCGTCTACCAAACGGCCAAGCTCCTCGGAAGCCATGAAGTCCCAGACCGCTTGTGAAGCCACATCCGTCTGCTGCTGTTGGAACTCGGCGGACAAGCGGGATTCCTCGACGGCCTTGGATCTCCCCGACTGTTCGCCCTCCCGGAAGCTGGCGGCCTTCTCGGTGGCGAGGCTCTCCTTTAGAGACTCCACCTTGGCCTTCTCGACCTCAAGGTTCAGGGAAGACTCTTCTCGAGCGGCGCGAAGTGTCTTGAGCTCTTGCTCGGCGTCTTTCGAGAACGTCCCCTTCTGGATCAGGTCCTCCAACTCTACATAGTTCTGGAGGGCGAGCTCAAGGGCTTGCGTACCAAGGGAGGGGGATGGGACGAGATTAGAACGTGGAGACGGAACTCCAAGCAAGGAAAGGCAAAAGGGGAGGGACATACCGAGAGTTGGCGCGTTACGGTAAGACGCTGGCGCTCCAGGATGCTCTTCCTCGCGAAGGAGTCCCCTTGCGAAGGACTCCCAGGAATCGGCATGGAAGAGCGTGTAAATGGCCTGGATAGGAAGGCTAAAGCGGGGAGGGAGGCGCAGAGCAGTATGCAGATGCCTCGGCACGACGTCCGTGACAACGAACTTGGGGTCATCCATGGCCGACCCCGACATCACTAGCGGCTCGGGTGCAGGAGGGGCCTCCTCGATGCACTTCCCCTTCTCAAGGCGTCGAGCCTTCTGAGAGGAGGACTCCTCAACCCTCGCAGGGGCCCGGGACTCCCCGACCCACGGCCCCATGGCTGAGGGATCGATCACCAGCATCCCCCGGAGGTGGGGGTCGGCGACACGGGGAGAGGGAGTGACTTGAGCGGGCGGTTGCCTCGGCGGTTCCAAAACCTCATCCATGTTCTTCCTCTTCCTCGGCCTCACCGAGACGGCATACCTCATCTTTGATGGCACGGCTGTGGAAAGAAGAAGAGATAAGCTCGAAAACTTCAAAACCGTAAGCCTTGACCTCAGACAGCAACAAGGGAGAAAAACCGTGACTTAAAGCTCAAGAGGTCCGCGGGAGGACCGACAGGACGTCGAGGAGTATCGAGGAGCACGGAGAAGTCATATTCTTCCCGGTTCTTGGCAGTGTTGAGAACCGAAGCACGGCGGTTGTCGTCGGGCAGGGCGAGAATCCGCTCGACGCGTGCAAGGGCAGAAGCGGGGAGTTGCGGCCGAGGGACGACTTCACCTGCAACAGGGAGCAACACGTTAGTAGGCTCGACGGATGGAGTCTGCACTATAAAAATATAGTATAAAAGGCGGAGGACCTACAGTATTTGCTGAATATGGTTTGCGTCCCCAAAGGACGCTCACCGTCGAGAGGGTGGGAATTAAAGTTGTCCCCAAGGAAAAAGAATTAGGGCTTCCACCCGTGGGCACTGGAGGTCTTCTCGACCACCAACGGGGGAACTGGAGGTTTGGACTTGGCCGAGGAAGCCAAGTAGAAAAACCCTCTCTGGTCTGGGGAGGCCTTGAGAGAGTAGCAGTACAAAAATTCGTCGACGGTCAAGTCGACCTTTAAGAATTTCCTCCACATAATAACCATGGAGTTAATTGTCACCCAACATATGGGTGACAACTGTGCGGGGGATATCCTGTGGATGCTACAAAGGGCCTTCACAAAAGGATGAAAGGGGATAGTTTGCCCAAAGCTAAGAGCCCGGGTGTAAACAGTCATATGGTTGGCAGGGGGGTTGTGGGCCCGGTCGCTGGGGGTCGGGATGATCAAGTAGAAGTGTAGGGGGTCGATCTCGGCATCATTGAAGGCCTTCAGGGCTGCCCTGGGCCTAATTTTAGACGGGTTAACGTCCGTGGCCAAACCTGAGAGGCCGCTGGACGACGCAACCCCATACCCTCGGCCTTCAGCAGGGCCGGCCTGCGCACCCGTGTCCTCCTCGTCGAGGAGGATCAGCTCGTCTGACCGAGAGGGCGTCACCGACGCCTCTCGGTAATCCTTCACCTGCCGAAGCAGAGAGTCTACACTTCCGTCCGAGGACGAGCTCGTCGTCGCCACCTCGACCGAATCGTCCCTCACCCTGGACGTGGAGACCTCTCGACCCCTAGCTTGTTTGGACGGCATGCTCTGGAAAACAAACAAAGGGCAGAGTTAGATCCTAATGGTCGAGAGGTCAAGGTACAACGCAAGGAGGCACAAAGAACGACACACCAGCCAAAGTCCCCAGAGCCTGTGGCTGAGAACTCAAGCCCAGCCCCGGGCATACAACCAGCCACGGCGGAGGAAGGCACTTCTCCCCCTTTTTTTCCCTTGTTTTGGTATGGGGTCATTGTTCTACATACAGCGGTACCGGGACAATAGCGGAAACAGGGAAGAACGGGAACTTACCAGTTGTTGGAAGACGTGGGCCTGGGAAAAATAGCACAAATGAGCACGAGAAAGCGGAGGCATCTGGGAGAAATCCGGCAGCGTAACGGCGTTCGAAGAAATGTGCAGCCCCAACGCCCTCACAAAAGGGTTTAAATACGTGCCCGAGGAGTCCAAGGGCCTCCAGATCCTGGCCGTTGAATTCAATTTGTTTCCATCCGACGGCGAATGCGAGAAGGCGCGATCCAACGGTTGGGGAGCAAGCAATGAAGAGGGGTCCAATCGGACGGCTGCAGCTCGCCCTCCAGGGCCACGTGGCGCCAGGGAAGTAAGAACGTGTTTGTTGACAAGATCGACGTGACGGTTCCACTGCCCGAGACACCAACCGCAATGATCGATGTGCTTACCAGCCGCCACTGCTACCTGCAGAAGGGCTCTTCACTCGAGGCATCCCCGACGCTGAGTACCCAGGAAAGTCGCACCACGACGTCCCAGCCTAGGGGGTAATTGTTACACCACGGTCGAAGGATCGGTCACGGCCTCGACGTTGGGCACCGAGGAATCCCCGTTCGGCTCGGCCGCCGGTGTCAGAGGAGTGGTAGCAGCTAAGGTGCCCTCTGCGGCGAGAGACATCACGCGGAGAAAGGCGCCGAGGACGGACGCTCGACCCTCGATATCCACGGCGTCGAGGAATGCAGTCTAATCAATCCCATCGGCTGTCCTGTCAACTCGGGGAAAGAAGCATCAATCCAACAGTCGCTGCAGGAGTCAGTAGATCGTGCGGCAGATAAGAGGGGTCAACCGCATTTCCTGAGTTTTTCATCATTAAAACCCACCTACCCTCCCGATTATCGAGGAAGGGAGATGGCTTCCTCCTTGGGAACGGAGAAGGCTTGGGGATTTTGTAATCACCTATAAATAAGGGAAAAAGGACCCAGGAAAGGGTTGGACACCATTTTTCGTTATACGAAGGGAGAGCATCTGTAATCGACTGGAATATTAGTGCATGCACAAGTGGATTAGGCAAAGAATTATTGCCGAATCACTATAAACTTGTTGTCTCATTTACGTTATTTTCCAGTTTTTATCTTTGATGGAACCGTGAATGTTTTTAGAGATGTAACTACGAGTTGTCGAAAAAACACCGTCAACACATAGCATCAAGTATACTCATGTCCTGCTCAAGAATAATTATTCCTCTTAAATGTAAATAAATCATAATCAGAACAACGGTTAAATTCTTATAAAACCATAATCCCATACCCAGAATGCTTCAACGGGAACAAAGTGACTAAAGTTCGGTTGGTAAAAATAAAAATTTATTGAAAAAAAAAAAAAGGATTTAAGGACGTGTCGCACAATATTGTCAAATGTATGAGAAGAAAAGTAATGGAGAAGGAGACGGCAATAAATGTTAGAGGTAGGAAGACTTCGGTTTTTTGACATATTTGCAATTTCACCAACCATTATAGCAATGCTGATGGCTTCTAGAGGCTTCTTTTTTATTTTCGTTGTTTTCAAATTGAACCTAATTGTAGGTAGGGCTTTATTGCTTTAAATACTATACACACATATTTTTCCCCTTCATACATATCTAAACTTTCCTTATATTTATCAAATT